TATATATATCAAAGATGATGTGTTTGGTATCAAGTTTTGTGGTCTAAAAATAGAAACTTTATTAAGAATGTAAGACGTTTAATTTCTCATTTTACAGTTTATTCCTGGATTAACTTCTTGGAGGTTTTATGAGGCCAAACGACATGCAAACATTGAAGGACCGGGACTACCAGTGAATGTCACAGTTGAGAAAAGGGAGAAAATAAATGCCAACAGTCTCGATCATTTCATTGACTTTATCACATCAAGTCACATAATGAAAGACCTGCCATATGGTCAAAGAACTCTTAAGCTGGACTCTGGTGAAATTATCAATATACCCAATGTTATCAGAAGTCTGTCATCTAGCTCACTCATCAGCCAATATTTGCAGCTATGTGAAGAAGACAATATTAGCCCTTTAGGTAAGGTTATTGTTTGTCTTCAATGATCAACACAATGAAAATGCATCAATGCAAATTACTTTTGTTTGACACAATTTTTGCCTAAATCAAATTAAGGAAGTTCACTACTCAAGTTTCAAAATAACAAGCTTTTCATAACAATAGTATATATTGATAGGGGTTTAATAAAGGAACCAAAAAAGCAAAAAAAAATATATAGGTCAATGTGCTTGTTTTCGAGATATTAGCCATTGAAATTTTGGCTGGAAAATGTTCTCTCTTGATTTTTCATAGCATTATCATTGACAATTTAAAGGTCTCAAAAACTTTTGAAAAATAACAAAGATTTTATAAGACTTTTACAGATGGCTAATAATTATACATATAAAAGATTTATAAAAAGAAAAATGGGGGTCAATGGGCAAAATTTTTTAGGCATTCAAATGGATAAAACCAGAGGATTCCGAAAATCTGACAAAAATCTCAAAACATGACAAGTGAACATCCTTAAAGAATACATCAAAGTTATTTTATGCACTTACATTATGTACATGTAGGTTCAAAAATGACCAATTTGGCATTCATTTCAGCTTAATTTTGTGTTTATGTCCAATTCACTGAATGGAAGTTTATATCAGGAATTCTTAGCCAATGACCAAATGTGGCACATTTTGTAAAAGAATCACCTCAGTCTGCATTAAATGCATGAGCAACTAGGTAGGGTTAAAATTGTATGTAACAAACAAAAACAAAACTATGTTCGAAAGATATCTGGTGCCCGCGGGCCTCGCTTTTTATCAAACACATCCTCTTTCTTAGTTTAATGGAGCATGACTTTGATGAGGTAGATGAAATTTTATGCTGATTTTCAATTATCCTTACATGAGTTTTTTCATGATAGCATGATAAGATTCCTTCATGGAAAAGAAACTTTAACCTAAAGGTACAATGTAAACATGAGTTTTGGACGGACAGACGAAAGGGCAGACATACCCTAAACTAATATGCCCCCATACTTTTGTATGCAGGGCATAAAAATAATGACATGATGACAAATCTTAACCATGCTAATGCTAGCTTTTACTGGCACGGCCATTGGTGGTCCTGAAAAGTATACATGTTGTATAACAGAATCATTTATATATATATATATGTTTTATAATCGATGTTACTTTTAAGGGGAAACATCATTTACATATATCATTAACATAATAATTTTCAGGTAAGAGCACACTCTATAAAATTCTATCAGAATGTGCTGCATCAGTACGAAAAAGTGTTGAGGGCCTTGACAATTATGTAATGGAAGGATCCCGTGCATTTCAAACATTGGAGGAAATATTTATGGATGAGAATAACTTGAAAACAAAGTTGTTAGAGGCAAAACGATATCTGAAAGCAGATTTTAAGGTTTGTAATATAGACAGTATAACTTTAAAATACTCTTATTGTCAGAAAGAGCCCAAGTGACCAATCTGATAATATTGGCTCACCTTTTTAAGCTCACTTGGCTAGAATGTCCATGTGGGCTATTGCCTATTACTTGCCATCATTGGTCACCATCTGACATCTTAGATATTTAAAAAAAAATCCAAAGCCACTGAACTGGTTGTAACCAAACTTTGAAGGAAAGATTCTTTGGGTATATAAATTATCATTTGTGAGTAACTTATACACAGGTCGTCAATCAAAATGAAAAAAATCATAGTTGCTGTTTTAAACCTAGAACATGGTTTATCTTACATTTCCAAAAGTATATATGTACATTACAGAAAAAAAGTACACTTCAAAATGACACTAGTCTAGGTAAAGAGGTACCACTGTTGAAAATTTCAGGAGATTTTAAAATTATTGCTGAAGGTGTTATTGCCCCTGATTTTTTTTTGGGGGTCAAATTTTGCAGCTATATATCTTGAAATATATGAGATGTCATTGCAAAGTTAATCAACATGCTCAGTTATTCCTGCCAATAAAATATCATAAATTATGAGATACTGCAGTGTATTATAGGATTAAACACCTTTTTAAAGGAATTTATTTGTGTATAAATTCGACCAATTCACTCACAAACAAATAAAAGTCCGAAGGACTTTTATGATATGTTTGTGAGCAACTTGGTCCAGTTTATACACCAATAAATTACTTTAAAAAGGCGTTTAATCCTTATGATTCTTTAAAAATGGAGATAAGGAATTCATTTTCCCACACTCGTAACCTCTACCACACGCAAATTGTATATTTGTGTCATTGAATTGGTCTGGCGCATGAATATATTTGTTGGTAAACGCAAAAAAATGTACTCCATGAAATTTCCTATCTGATAATAAATAAACTGCAAAAGTTGTTATAATCATTCAAATGAATGTTTTGTGTTTATAACACGAAGTAAAAATAAATTTTGTTAACGTCGAGCCGGATTGTATTATTATCGCCGCCATCTTGTTTACATTGGTTACGAAAGGCAGTTTGGTCAACGTCGTCTATCGAAAAATAAACAACTTCAAGAACAACTATTGAAGTCCTCTCGACCAATCATATCAACGTATGCCCTAATATGTAAATCATATAAGAATTGTTTTTAAATGTAATGGCATCAATTAGATGATTTGATGTTTGCAAATTAGTTTGTAATCCTTTTTTCTAAACCTATATTATGTCCTCTGAGCATGCACATTACATCTCATGTTGTCAATCCCGTAATTGATGCCATGAATTTTACTTTGTGGATCAATCAAGTTTGATGTAATATTAAATTGCATGTATAATACAGGATTAGTGTTTGGAGTTATGGCATCTGAAAATTCTATTTTATACTATTTTTACACTTTTTAAATATTATCCATTTTGTATTTTAGATACATTTAGCCAGGCAAACCAATGTTATACAGCATTGTTTGGGATTTGCACTGAGTGTTCCAGGAATTGAATTTCAGCTTCATTGTCAGCACATTCATAGCCAGCATTGTCAAAGCTGTATAGACTTAGATGAAACATTACAGAAAGTTCTTGAAAATGCTGAGAAAAAGCAGATTGAAAATAAAGATGCTCTTATGTTTAAGGTAATTATCATAATGTTATTATACGGGCCCGTGCGACACTTGGTGTTGGACACCCCATATAGTAATTAGTTTGTCTGTCAGTCACAGTTTTCGTTGTTGTACGATAACTCAAGTTTGCTCCCATTCAAACAGGCCATTTTTCTAGTTGCATTACAATATGGAATTTGTTTTCTATATCTAACCACAAGTGGTCTTTGACTAATATAAATGACATTTATATTCCTAACAGACTTCACAACAAACTTTTTAATCTGCAAAACACTCCATTTTGTTTAAAATGCTTTTATCCTTAATACACAGATCAGCCAGATTCCATGTATGTTTATTTTCAAGTTAGTCCATGAGGGTCATCCGTGTGTTTCAGACACATTCTTTTCTTAACTTAAGTTTATGATAACCTCAAGTTTTATATAGATATTTTGTCTTTTGTAACCATGGTGGGCCTCAATATTTGGTTAAACCTACGACAACTGCATATCTTCCTCTGTAACAAGCCAAACTAATCTCTGTGATTTAAACATAGTATGACATTGTTAAAACAATACTTTTGATGTAACACTTCTCCTGTATTCATATATTTAAAGAAAGTCACATTTTTTTTACTTTATAGGTAGAGAAGGCTGTAAATGATATCAAAAACCTCCAAAAACACATTGTTAGATCAAAGAACCAAGAATTTGCCAGGAAGGATATAGCTGACAACATGGAAATAAATGATGTCATTATCACATCAGACTGGGCAATGAAGTTTTTGCCAAGACACTATCGAGAGGGACAGTTAGACTGGTTTGCCAAACGGGGCATCAACTGGCATGTGTCTGTCTCCTTGATAAAACTACAACATAGAATGCAAACTTTAACCCACCTTCACATCTTCAGCTCACAAACATCTCAAGATGCTGCAGTTACTACCGCGGTAATGACAGATGTGGTTCAGGACTTGAAGACAATCCTTCCAAATCTACAGAATGTCCACATATTTAGTGATAACGCAGGTTGTTACAAGAGTTCATTAACATTGTCAACTCTAAGACATGACATTGGGAAAGCACTTTAGTGAAGCTCAGAATGGGAAAGGTAACGTAACATAATCTTGATAATAAAACCCTACACCCTTGCAAACAGTTTGGGCGATTCCTCGTAAGCTGTTCAATTGTATTTAATGAAGCTTTACCAAAAGGAGGTTCATAATATGTAGATGAGAATAAAGAAGTTTTATTATACCCTGAATTTGCATGGGATATATCGAGTGGGGTATTGATGAAACTTTGCACAGTTGAAGAACACTACATGGGGTGTGCATGAAAGAAAAAAATAATAAAGGGAGATAATTAACTTGTAATATGTGCTTTATTATCATATTATTTACAATCTAGTTCATATCACAATCTCAGCACTCATAATTAGTTGGATAATGTAACTTATACACAGAAACATTTGCAGTAGTACGGTTGCATTCTTATGAAATTAGATCACTGTGACCTAGATTTGAAGCTCATAATATGTCATATTTATTAATGCAGGTAGAAATAAATTCATTATGCTTTTTTGCAGGTCCTTGTGATAGAAGAGCCGCCCATGCCAAATTTGTCATAAAAAGATTTATTAATGAAGGAAGAGACGTCACTTCTGCACTTGATATGAAAAAGGTATTATTCAAAGCATTATTTAAAAAGTGGATACACAATGAAGGAAAAGATAGTCGGACAAACCATGTATCTATATCCTGATGATCTTAAAAAAAACAGACAGACAAGGGTAAATTAATGTGCCATCAAACATTTGTCATGTGAGCATAAAACCAAGATATTAATATTGGGGTACCCAATGTTGGATAATTCTATAAAACTAAACATTACCTCAATGTAAAATGATTGACTTTTTGATGGAATTTTTGTGTTTGGGCCCTGAATTATGTCTATTTCAATGAGTAAAATTATCATCACATGATTATATGAAATACTTTTTTCTTGAACATAAAAGTTATTCTGTTATTTTTTCAGGCCCTAGAGAAATTTGGACAGAAAACATACAGAGTAAGAGTAGTTGACACCGTTTTAGATCTGGATGCAGAAAAACATAAAGAGTCAATAAAGAATGTCTCCAATTTCTACAACTTTAATTTTGGAGATGATGGCCTGAGAATGTGGCAGGCATACAACATTGGTGAAGGTAATACAATATATACTGCAGCTGTGCTATTTGAGCAGTCAAATTGCATTGACCGTATATTCATATGTGATATACAGTCACTGACCGTATATCGCCTTGTTGATGACATTAACAATGTGTTTCCGTAGAGTTTTATTTATGACGTCAATAAAACATACAGGTTCCCGGAAATTTTACGTCTTCCGCTCAAAATTAAGAAATGATGTTTTTTACCCTAAATACTTCATTATACCCCATGCAACGGGTTGCGGAGGGTATAATGTTTTTGACCCGTCCGTCAGTCCGTCAGTCCTGTTTCTTGTCATCGCAACTCCTCTCAAACCACCCAACAGAATTTCACGAAACCTTTTTAGATAATAAGGACATACTATGTAGTTGTGCATATCGACAGGAAATTGCGATTCAATTTTTTTTTCTAGGAGTTACGCCCCTTTGAACTTATTTACTTTAATGTACTACTGCAACAGTTTGACATCGCAACTCCTCTCAAACCACACAACAAAATTTCATGAAACCTTTTCAGATAATAAGGACATACTACGTAGATGTGCATATTGACAGGAAATTACGATTCAATTTTTTTTCCAGGAGTTACGCCCCTTTGAACTTATTTGCCCAATATACTACTGCAACCTTTTGTCATCGCAACTCCTCTCAAACCACACAACAGAATTTCGTGAAACTGTGTAGATAATAAGGACATACTACGTAGATGTGCATATTGACAGGAAATTACGATTCAATTTTTTTTCCAGGAGTTACGCCCCTTTGAACTTATTTGCCCAATATACTACTGCAACCTTTTGTCATCGCAACTCCTCTCAAACCACACAACAGAATTTCGTGAAACTGTGTAGATAATAAGGACATACTATGTAGATGTGCATATTGACAGGAAATTATGATTCAATTTTTTTTTTTTGGTACAATTTTTTTTTCTTACACTTATTTTATTTCTCCAATGACAATGTGGGGACGTGGGGTATGTGAGCGCGCTCACTAAGGTTCTTTCCTTTAGAACAGTTATAAGAGTTGCAGTATATAAAGAATAACCATACATTGTCTCGAAATGTCAATGCTATTTGTACTCGGCTCGAAACAGGTAGAAATGCTCAGCACAGCCTTGCTTTCTACCTGTTTCTAAGCCTTGTACAAATAACATTGATATTTCCAGACAATGTATGGTTATTCTATATATACTAAACTTGTTTCGCAATTATCAGTATGAATGACATCTACATGTATCAATTGTATCCAATAAAAAGTCTCAATTCAACAACATTTTATTTAGTTCTTACTGTATTTCAGGATGGGTTGCATTATTGCAATGATGGGATGGATACATATAACAATATAAAAATATCTGTTTGAAATTTTATGAACTTGGTCAAAGTCCCATAACTCTTACAAAATTTGATAAGCAACTACTTTAACAATGATCCTCTGACATTATGAATTTTTTTACAAAAAAAAGAGCTATTTGTGTTCATGAATGTCCCACAAGAGAAGAGACAAACTTTATATAATGTACATTCATTGTTTACAGGGAAATTGGTGCAGTGGGATTCCCTCAAGCCATCTAAGAATGCTGTGCAGTTAAAGGTCATCAGTGATTGGACTGACATAGCAATATCAGATTCCTATGAAGGTAAGCTTTGATATTTGGTAGTATATATTGTTATGATATGCAAGTCTAAATTCAAAACAACAGTCATTCATATGATTGTGTTGGATAAAAAACGCAAATTTTTATACATCATGCATGCAAAACAAATTTCTTGGTTGAGGGGTCTAAATACAGCACAAACAGTGAAAAAGTATATTTTAACATATTGTTATTATATATACTAGAACACACCCGCGAAATCGCAGGCATTTAGTGCGTGGTTGAAAGTATGTAAACTGTAGATAGTATGAATTTTCGTAAAATATTTTATGACTGGCTTATTTCAGGAAAGGTATCAAAAGTCTTAGCCTGCGGGTGCCGTGTTGACAGGACATGATTTTGTTTTAGACCTTCCCCTCTTTTTCCAAAGTCTGTTATTGCTTGTTTTCTGTTTTTCTCTATACTATGAACATACACATGATACATATACTAAAAATAAAAATTAATTTGCTATTTACTACTCAGATTTACTATCAATTCCTAATCTACTATCCATGGCAGTCACTGATGTAGTATCATTTAGAGACTCTTTATATAATATATCAGCGACCGCCGTGGATAGTAAACTTGGAATTGATAGTAAATAGCAAATACATTTTTTTTTATAATATATGTATGATCATAGTATACAGAAAACCGTGAAAATAATTGTCCTGTCCCAAGTATTTTTGAAAATTATGTGCTATTTTTAAACATTTCTAAACGGAAGTATTGTTTATGACTTAAAAGTCTGTCGGATGACTGAAACAATATCCGGATGCCTTTTTTTTTCGTTTTTCTCCCAAAATAACCCAAAGTGAATAATCATAATCGTGGATGACAAATGCGACTATGCATGGTACCTATAGGACACAGGGGAATGATGATTAATTTATTGTGGAAGGAAGAGAAGCGACACACAAAATGAGGTCTTCTCGTTTAATAGTATAGATACTCTAAACCCCATTTTGATTCATCAAATCGTATAAAAAGTAATTTGACTAATGAACCATTTTCATCAGTTATGAAATGGAAACTACATTTTCTTTTTCATTGACGTCAACATTGATTGTCTCAGTAGGAATTCATTTCCCACATGTGATTATACAAGTTCGTTTATTAAGTAGATATTATGATAAGGCTGCTATTTTATTCTATGATATATATGTATATATTAGTAACTTTTATATTTATTTTCTGTAGATCCAGTACCAGCAACAACAAAACACAAACAAAATTTGATATGCCCTTTGGAGAACTGCATCCGTGAATTTAAAAATAAAGAAACACTAGATCAGCACATCTTGCAAGGACAATGTGAATATCAGTTAGAAAAAGAGGCATTGTCTGACAAAAGCAAAATTATATATGCTAAGAAATTATCAAATGCTCCTTTGTGTTGCCCAGATATGACTGCTGAAAATGTTTTTGAAGATGACAGTTTGGTCAATAGGTGTTGTGGATGGGCTTTGAAATCAAAAAAGAAGAAAACAGTTTTCAATCAAAAGCAGAAAGACTTTATGATTGAGAAATTTCAAATTGGCAAAAGAACTGGCAGTAAGGTTGATGCCAACACAGCTTCTGAAGAAATGAGGTCAGGTCACCTTGGATTTTCTAAGGACGAATTTTTAACAGGCCAACAGATTGGAAGTTATTTTTGTAGACTTGCTCAACAAGACAGAAAATCAGACAGCAATGACTACCGTGCTGCAGATGAGGAAAACAGAAGATCTATTTTGAAAAAAGAGATCACTAAAACTATTGACATTTAGTAACAAGAACTTTTGAGGGTTATGTGCTTTATTGGAAATAGATTTTTTTTTTACTTTTCTACTTCTATACTTATATATTATCATTATTTTTTAACCTAATAACTCGTCATCAACAACATATTAGTGTGGCCTGCACATTTTATGTGAACCGACATATCATGCATATAGGGATCACTTTAGTCATGGTCGATGACGTCACACTTTTCCATTTCCAATTTCTCAGCTTCTACTGGATGGATAATTAGATATTTGGTACATGACTTTGACATAGTCACTTGCAGCCCCTTTTCAGGTTCGTTGCTTATCTACTTCCTGTTTATTGATCAACTTTGTAGTTTTTTAGGTGCTGCATAATGGATATTTCCGTTACAGTTTTCCAAGATTCTTCTTTAGGGAATACTTGGATATTTGGTACATGGCTTTAACATGTGGGTGCCCTTTTCAGGTGTCTGCAATACCAACTTCCTGTTTTTCGAATACTTTGAAATTTTCACATAACACTGGTCATACATGTATATATGCAAAAAATTACGTAATAATTGTAAAAGGTAGGCAACACACGTCTTGTCTTCCATTCACATCTAAGTTTAAGGTTTCTGGGTTATGCCACTGCAAATAAGTTGTCTTGGGATTGGTTTTCTCCTTAATTTGATGTGCAAGCATGTGATTATCTCATCTGCAGGTCATACCAATTTGAACACACATTTGACCCTTCTCTGTAACAGAGTTTTGCTTATTTTTCAGTAACAGGGAAACATTTGAAGAATGATGAACTTGTATGCCTTTTTGAAATTGTTTTCAGATCAATCAATATATTTATGATAATATGTTAGCATTCAAGAATAGTTTGGTCACTATGGTCTACATTCTACAGGCTTACTTGACTTATACTTTGATATTTGTTTGTATAGTTAACATGATCATGATGATATGCTAAGTTTGATGTCAATAATGGAAGTTATTTTCAAATAGGTTCTTTTAGTAATTATTGTGGGATAAAGGTTACCGTATGTAGCAACTACTATCCAAACAGATCTTTTTTTTAAGGAACATGAAGTATGGTTACTAATATGACTATTTTCAAATACTTATTGTATTTAGTAAGAGGATGACATTAATAATAGTATAAGAGAATTTTGTAGGCAATATGAAAATATTTTGGCGGGAAACCGAACTTCTCTAGATTTTTCATCAGTTATAATGGATATTTTCATGAATCTTTAAAGTCTTATAAAATTTTAAGATAATTTATAGAATGTTCTCAAACTATCTTACTAAACTTGTTTTTATGTTTCTAACATATACATGATATAAATGAAAGATAAAGGGCTGATGAGGGGAAAAAATATATATACCATAGTTTAGATGGATAAACCCTGAGAATTTTGAATAATTTGTCCAAAATTAAAAAGTCACCATCCTTAAACTATCAGTATATGTCATTGTTATGTTATTTTCACTTTAAGGGCTGAATATGCTCGTATTTATTTGTGTTTATCATGTAGTTTAATGTGTCTGATGATCTTTTTCAAAAATTTCAAAAAATAAAAAATTGAAATTCTTGACAATTTATTTTGAATAATTTTTTTTTTTGCCCTAATTTGCCCATGGATTTTTTTTTCTCATTTTGTAATACTATCTTAGTACTACCCAGGTTTATGATACATAATACTCCATGATGCTGGCTTTTCATAGAAAAATGGGTCCAAAGTTGGCATTATTTCACTTTTTCCCGAAAATTGACAAATAATGAATCAGGGGTGTCATATGGCTCTGTTCGTAAATGTATGTTAAATGTAAAAACTGAAAGTATGTGCTTAATCCAAGCAATATATATGATTGTTTTACATATTATATCTGGAAAATGTTTATTAGTTGTCTAAACTATTATTATTTAAGTCCGAAAATGTCAATATTGGGCATTTTTCTGAGATTTTGAGCGGTCAAAATCAGCCATAATGGTAACCATAGCAACCACACGCACCATCCATAAAATCTTTCCAGGTGAGTTTCTATTGAGTGGTACTAAGTATAATAATAAAGTTTCATCAAAATCTGAGACCCTGTGTGCCAGGCCTATTCAGAATTTCTTTGGTGATTACAGAGAATTGCTCTTAAATGTTATTACAAATAACAAATCGATATAAATATTTAAAACCTGTTTTTATTATTATTTTTGTATCTTTTTCTGATATCAATTATTTGTAATTATATGTCATATCTACGTCATATTAATTGAAATGCCATCAGATGGTCCTGTAATGAGGTAAAAAGATAACTGTATGATGAACTGTAGGTTAATTGTTAGTTTTTTAGTGTGACCAATGTCTGCCAAGATCCAGAAGTTCGGAACTTTAGTCATTCTTTTTTTTTCAATTTAGAGTAAAACAATGCCAGAACTATATGAGTTAGTGAATACTTACAAACCTGACGTGATATGGTCTGATGGTGACTGGGAAACAACTGATGTTTACTGGAATGCCACACAGTTCTTAGCCTGGCTTTATAATGATAGGTGAGTGAAGTGTACATTCGGATTCATTGTACTAGATGTTTACTGGAATGCCACACAGTTCTTAGCTTGGCTTTATAATGACAGGTAAGTGAAGTGTACACTGAGATTCATTGTACTAGATGTTTGCTGGAATGCTACACAATTCTTAGCTTGGCTTTATAATGATAGGTGAGTGAAGTGTACACTTAGATGCTATACTTTTATAGGAATACCAGACCCTTTTAAACCTTGGTGTATAAAGAAGGTAAAGTACAAATATATAACATACTGCTGAACCAAATTTTATGTTTCCATCAGTGCATTTTGTCTCTGGTGGTTAGTTGTCTCATTAGCAATCATACCACATCTCCTTCTCTTTATATTACTTGAAGGAATTCATATGTAATAACTAAGAAATTGGCAAGTTCATTGCTATGTAAGTAAATAAAAATTCAATTAGTTTTCCATCAGATTTTTATAAATGAGTACTGATGCTAATGACTATATGGGAAATATAATTGAAAAATAGCTTCAACAATGAGCAAAACCCATTCCACACAGTAAGCTATAAAAGGACCCGAAATGACAAATGTAAACAATTCAAACGAGAAAACTAACGGCATGATTAAAGTACGAAAAAAATGAAAATAAAAACAAATGTAATATTCAGCAACAAACGACAACTACTGAATTACAGGCTCCTGACTTGGGACAGGCACATACAGAATGTGGTGGGGTTGAACATGTTTGGTATACCAAATGATAAAAACTGCTATCCATACTTTACCCAATATAACTACATAACACTGAAATACATTATTTTGCAGCCCTGTGAAGGATACAGTATGTGTGAATGATAGATGGGGTAAAAACATCAGATGTAAACATGGAGGATTTCTGAACTGTAATGATAAATATAACCCAGGTATAGTATACATAGATTTATATATGTCAAAATAGGTTTTAACAAATATATCAAACTCCAAAGTAAATTAAAAAAAGGTAAGTCCATAAAATATCATTAATGATGTGTAATCTGCTGCAACACATGTTGTGTATGTATGCATCTTTACATGTACAAATTCTGTTTTTGTGTTGAAACTGCTTTCAAGAATGAATATATGGTCCCATATTGTTTAGATTACTTCATTTCATTGTATCTTTAAACTAAACATTAAGCAAACAGCAAAAAATAAATCAACCTTAAAACAGCTGTCTTGATAAGATCCATTAGACTGTAGTACCTTAAATTCACAAACTATTGTGCACATTTGTAATTGTGAATTCTGATTACTGATAAATATGTGAGATCTAATTTATGCAATTGCAAATATTTTATGAAAGAAAATCACTTCTGAATTTATAAATACAAGTTTAATATAGCAAACCTGATACTGTCAAATAATAAAAATTAATAAAAACATAGCAATAATTTCTGAATGTACAGTATATAGGGAGTGTACAGTGATCATATAAATTATTCATTGAAGGAAAGTTACAAAAGAAGAAATGGGAGAATGCTATGACAATTGACAGATATTCCTGGGGATACAGACGTAATGCGCGGCTAGCTGATTTTCTAACCTTACATGACCTTTTATCTGAAATTGTTTCCACTGTTAGGTTGGTATATGTAAATTGTATTTATGCAACAAAAAATGTACTGATTACATATACTGAAGGATATATGGTGACCTATAGTTGCTTCCATTATGTCATTTGAACTCTAGTGTTTAGCTGTCTCATTGACAATTATACTATATTATATTATTATATAATATATATTTATAAAGTTAATCTCCACAGACATTGGCAACTTTGGGAAATATTTAGAGAAATCTTTTTGAATTATGACAATAGGAAATGTTGTAAACGTAGACAATTAACAATGCTACTAACTAGATCATAATTTTATTTCACAGTTGTGGCGGAAATATTCTAATAAATATTGGTCCAACTCATGATGGTATGATAGTGCCCATATTTCAAGAAAGACTACGACAGCTTGGTGATTGGTTAAATGTGAATGGAGAAGCTATATATGGATCTAAACCATGGACTCATCAGAATGATACAGTTACTAAAAACATATGGTAAAGTTCTTAACTGGCCAGAGTCTAGAAAAATTGTGAATGAATTTAACAGTATCTGTTCTTACAGCTGTGTGTCTGTTTGTACAGCTGTGTGTCTGTTTATACAGCTGTGTGTCTGTTTGTACTGCTGTGTGTCTGTTTGTACAGCTGTGTGTCTGTTCTTACAGCTGTGTGTCTGTTTTTACAGCTGTGTGTCTGTTTGTACAGCTGTGTGTCTGTTTATACAGCTGTGTGTCTGTTTGCACAGCTGTGTGTCTGATTGTACAGCTGTGTGTCTGTTCGTACAGCTGTGTGTCTGTTTGTACAGCTGTGTGTCTGTTTGTACAGACATGCATTATCTATCTCATGCTTTAATTTCTTTTTGGTTTTCACTTACATTCATGTGAAAGACTTAAATTAGCAATAAATTTAGTTAAAAATGTCCATGGATTCATTCATCCATTCATCCAACAATTTTACTTCTTAACAGAATGAATTCATATTAAGTCAGCAACTTTGCAGTGATGAGGGTGTGAGTGCTTTTTGGATCTTTCAGACACCTACTGTTTTTTTTCCAATACTTTGTACAAGAGAAGGGTATGCAGGACAACACATGCATTCTTGTTCATTTATTTCAGTTGAGTAATTATGAAAGATTAATATCAATATAGTTAAAAATTGTGCTTTTTTATAATTTACATGTGAGTTATTGCCATGAAAATGTTAACTGTACAGACAAACGAAATATAAGGATTTTATGCTTATATTTGTATACATATTTGAATAAAATTGAAATGGGAAATGTATATTACCAATAGTTCAATTGAGTTTTGCAGATGAATTCCTCTTGAAAATTTCCATGCGAGTCAAGTAAGATAATTCTACATAATAATTCTGCTAAATGAATAGGCAAAATGGCTACCACTTTCTGTTGAAGTTAAGCTACCAATAACAGCACATTATATTTAAATGGAAAATGAATGATGAAAAGTTTCATTGCTAACAAAACTGTACGCCATAATAAAAATTATTAATTGTATTATAAATATATTCATAAAATAAGTCATAAAACTTTTATTATAGGTATACTTCACAGAAATCCAGTGTTAGTTTAGATGTGTATGCAATTCTACTTTCCTGGCCTGAAGGGAAGGTGTTGACCTTAGGGGCACCAGTACCATCATCTACAACTGTAGTCACAATGCTGGGATACAGTACAAAGTTAGATTGGAAGCCTGGTACCAAAGGAGGCATTGACATTAGTATACCAGTCATTCCATCTAATCAGCTACCTTGTACTGATGCATGGGTGTTAAAGATCGAAGGTCTCAAGAATTAGACTGCAAAAATATTGTTATTCATAGTTTTTCAGATGTTTCTTTTTCTTCAAGAAAACTCCATACTAGATAAGGATGAACATATTTGTCCACGAATCTCTGTCTGTAAATTTAGATCTTGTTTTTTATAATTTTACATATTTTTTAGATTTTGTAATTCAGAATTTACTTTTCTGGATAGTTTTCTGTCACTATCAAGGATAACAATATTATGAATCTTTGTAACTTCCAAAATTTGTAACCATTAGGACAAATTTGGGAATTTAGAATTGCCGACAGGGGAAAGCATCTTAAATTTAAAGAAACATTTAAAGAAATATACAATTATTGACAAATCTTCAAAGAAGCTTTGAATTTGCCAGGGGGGAAAACTTTTGCACAAAATGTGCTCAATTCAAGGGAAGTTAATTAAACTGGGTATAACTTCAAATTTACACTATGTTTATAAATAACAAGAAAACAGGAATCAGTAACCTTTATTTTCTTTGTATTCCCTGAAAGCAATAGCTCCAAATAATGTCCCAAAAACAAGTTATCAAATTCTCTTTGAATGAATCAGAATCATTTTTTACTATTGTCAATATATAGATGTAAATTTTAAACCACTCACTTCTTGAAAATTAGTTTAGTCTTGCAGGAAAATTTTATAACTATATGTTTTCTATTAATATTAGCCTCTATACTCCTTTACATTTTCATTCCTATATTTAAGGATGTATTCTTCTGACGTTTCAGTTTCGTTGAAATCTCGTTCTGGAATTATTTCCAAAACATGTGATACAAGTGGAAAATATCAATATAATTAAACTTAATTCTGTGAAAAAATTGTGTATTTACAATAAGTAGTTTTTGAGTAAACAATTTTTCAAATTTTACGACCAATCAAGTCAGTCTTTTTAGCCAAAATTTTGAGAAAATGGGTGAGGGGTACAAAAAATGATTTTCTCGGAATCATGTACATCCCATATCATTTTTTCTTTTCAAATTTCTTAGATATGTATTTTTTCAATCATTTATAACAAAAAAGTTGAAATAATATGCATTTTGTTCTTAAAACTGAGAAAAATCACAAATTTACAAAATTGACAGCATGGTAAATTTGACACAAAAAAGCATCAAAATATGATAAACTTTCTTATATTAGCACCTACCTATAGTGATTTTTAGCTAAATTTATTCAGATTGGTCAACTTCATCTTTATTGAAAGTATGAAAAAAAAGTTTAATTGTGGAACTGCGATTTTTTTTCACGATAAAGCCCAAAAATAGGTAAAAATTGATGAAAATGGGAAAATCATTAAAATTGGGTTCTTTCAAAGGGCCGTAGCAAGAAAAGAAGTGCACCACCATAAGATTTTTTCTTCACCAATTATTTTTTTACAGTCATATAAACCCAAAAATCAGGTTAAGAAAAAAAGTTTAATTCTAGAAATTTTTGGCTCCTCAGAGGTGTACATCCTTAATGTAACTTTAAAACAGAGAAAGATATCATTAGTAATTTTGAACTTGAATATCTGTTTATAAATGTGACATTCTTTCTGGATTAATTAAATTTTTATTTTTTTATTGAATATTTTTGAAAGTATATCAAGACAATTTGAATTATAAATTGTTTTTATATTTCTTTCATTCAGTTTCATAACGGTAAAAGGGAGGAAATTTGAATAGTAGAAATCCAGTACAGTTTGTTTTTGGGAGTTCTCATAAAAGTTCTAGATGTTATTTGTCATACATGGTCCATATGAAAGGCCTTACTGTGAGTTTGAGATGAAGGACAGCAATAAAAGTTTTTTTTTTTTTTTTGAGTTTTGTTGAGTGCATGTAAGGATGTTGTGTTATGAATTTATACTCCATATCATTTTTTCTTTGCCATTGCAATTTTTTTTATTAAAATAGAATTGAAATGTTCCAATCTGACATCAATGTTTGTCATACTAGAATTAAGTTTGATTGATATATTAGCTAATGTTAATCTGATATCCATTGGAGAAGGAACAATTTATTAAGTACTGTGGATTCATTTATTTTCGTGGATACCAAATTTCGTGGATAGAGGAAAAACTGCATTTTCATGGATATTTAATTTCGTGGTTTTGCCAGAGTCCACAAAAAATCCTATACAAAATTTTACTTCGATGAACATTTAAATAGGTAGTTAACCTATGCCCACAAAATCCACGAAAATTGGTACCCCCTCAAATAATGAATCCAAAGTACCCTTTAAATTAATGGATTATTAATTGATAAAGACAACAGTATTGTATTTCCACCAACAGATTCAGATCACTCTTAAAATAATGATTTATCATGTAACATTCTCAAATTGTTTGTACTTATGGCACATAGATACTTAAACAGGTCTGTAAATGTAAGTATTTTAAAATGTTTAGTAATCATTTTTCTTTTTCTTTCTTTTTATGTTGTGTTTATTAATTGTTAAAAAAATAATCTCAAAAATATTTTTTTAACTTTATATACAATAAAGTCATATAGATACTGAAATTGACAGTTTAATAATGACTTAAAAATGTCTTATGGAAAATCATTCCTTTTATATTATGATATAACAATATGTTTTTCATTAACTGCTTTACTTATTGATGTTATTGGCATATTAATCATCAGACACAGCTGATACTGCAATCAAATTTATAGAAAGAAACAAATTTGATTTTGTGTAATTCCCTTTTTATAACATAATAAAATATAAAATCTTCTACCTTTTATTGGTAATTAATCCTGGATGTAGTACATGTACATTATTCCATGTAGAGAGATGACTTTAATAAAGTAAAATGTAAAAGTTACTAATGGCCGTCTTAAGCTTTTGCTCCAATATTGAGGGCCTCACTGTGAAATTGAGATAGAAAAAAGCAATAGAAGTATTGGTCCTTCCTTAGGGTTTTGTAAAGTGTTTGTTGGCATTTTGCATCATGAATGAATACATCATATTCCATGTTTCTTATCATTTCATTGTAAAATTGCAATTATTACAATACTAAAAAAATGGTTGAAGTCCCATTTCTCAAATAAAACTGGTCAAGTGAAAATGACAGTATAATATGGTCAACTACACATGTTGGCAAACAATACTCCCAAGTATGACAGCTTTCTGAAAAACTGTCTGCGAGGAGTTATGTTCTCAAGGTGGTGCCATCATGTGTAGGTGACTATATTGTACTACAAATTTTTGTTTGACAATTTTTACGGGAGTTATTGGACTTTGACCATATGTTGGAATATTGTAACAGCAACACCATGTGAATGCAACTCCTCTGAGACTTTTTCAGAAAGCTCTTATACTTGGTAGAATTGTTTTCCATCATTTATAGTTGACCACTTTTGTGCCGACATTTAATATTATTGATATCTTCATTTTCTGTAAATTTACTGTTTACAGAATGTATAAATATTCAAAACACTGCGGATTTTCTACCCCGAGGTATAGATTGTCTTAGTCGAATTTGGTACAACTTTTCGGTATTTTTGGTTATTAAATGCTCCATAAACATAGTTTAGTGTTCTATGATGTGTTTACCGAGCTGTATGCCAATATACACATCCTCCAAAGAGACATTGAAACTCATAAGTTGAAAATAAACTGACAACGCCATTGCTAAAATAGAAAACGATAAACAACAGTACACAAAACACAACATAGAAAACTAAAGACTGAGCAACACGAACCCCACTAAAAACTGACAGATTAAGTTTATCCTGCTTTACATGTCACACACAAACCTCTTTCGAAATTATTAACATCTATTTTATCAGCAATCAAAGCCGGGCTCCAAAGTTATTGTGAAACTGCCTATTCTAGAGGTGGCGTGAATCAGATGTGGATACTAAAAAATTCCAAAGATCTTTTAGAGTACATACAATCTAAGACTCTCTCATCTTGCAATAGTATTAAAACATTTGACTTTTCTACACTTTACACAAGTATTCCCCATTCCAAACTAAAAGACAAATTGAAAGAGTTGGTATTACTTTTTTTCATTAAAAAGAATGGCAAACGTAGATACAAGTATCTTGTCTTGGGGAGGGATAAATCCTACTTTGTGAATAATCAGTCTGATTCAAACAAAAAATTCTCTGAAACTGACATTATCAAGATGCTTGATTTCTTGATTGACAACATATTTGTTACGTTTGGAGGACGTGTTTTTCAACAGACTGTCGGAATTCCAATGGGAACCAATTGTGCCCCTCTTCTTGCCGACTTGTTTCTTTATTGTTATGAGGCTGACTTCATACAGGAACTTCTTAGGAAGAAAGATAAGAAGTAACAATATTTAAGTGCTCTAAAGGGTGTTTAAGTTGTCACACCTGTAATGCAAAACTCATGAAATCAGTTGTTCTAGAAGGGAAAGCATATTCTGTTTGACATGCCATATTTGTGACATTAGGTAATAACCATCTTACATCCAATAAGGTGCTGTAGAAGGGATCTCATATCCAGTTTGACATGATAAATCTGTGACATTAAGAATATACAAAACGCACTTGAAATCAGATGTAGAATTAAAGCAATAGCCTGTTTTACATGATATGTCTGTGACATTGGGTAATACAAAACTTACTTCCAATCAGGTGTTCTAGAAGGGAAAGCATACTCTTTTTGACATGCCATATCTGTGACATAGGATAATGCAAAACTTACTTGAATTCAGGTGTTGTAGAAGGGAAAGCATGTCCTGTGTGACACGAGGTAATACAAAACTCACTTGAATTCAGGTGCTCTAGAAGGGAAAGCATATCCCACTTAACATGTCGCATCTTTGACATTGGGTGGCACACACTTAACATCAAACAAGTGCTCTAGAAGGGCAAGCATATCACACTTTACATGTCACATATCTGACATTGGGTGGCACACACTTAAACATCAAACAAGTGCTCTAGAAGGGTAAGCATATCACACTTTACATGTCACATATCTGCCATTGGGTAACATACTATTCACTTCAACTTATGTGCTCTAAAGGGTAAGTTTATCCTGCTTTACATGTCACACTTGTGACATTTGGGTATAACATAATTCACTTCAAATCGGATGCTCTAGAAGGGTAAGTTTTTCTTACTTTAGATGTCTAACCCAAATTCAATCTGGGGCTCTAGAAGGAAAAACATATCCCACTGAACATGGTACCAATGTGGCATAGGGTAATACAAACTCAGATAAAACAAGGTGCTCTAGAAGGGTAATATCTGTTTGACATTCCATATCTGTGACATAAGGTAATGCAAAACTTACTTGAAATCAGGTGTTTTAGAAGCGAAATCATACTCTGTTTGACATACCATATCTGTGACATAGGGTAATACAAAATTTACTTGAAATCGGGTGCTCTAGAAGGGATCTCATATCCAGTTTGACATGAAAAATCTGTGACATTAAGAATACACAAAACGCACTTGAAATCAGGTGTTGTAGAATTGAAACAATAATCTGTTTGACATGCCATATCTGTAACATGGAATGCAAAACTTACTTGAAATCAGGTGCTGTAGAACGGAAGCCATGTCCTGTTTGACATGCGTGTGACAAGAGGTAATACAAAACTCACTTGAAATCAGGTGCTCTAGAAAGAAAAGCATATCCCACTTAACATGTCGCATCTTTGACATTGGGTGGCACACACTTAACATCAAACATGTGCTCCAGAAGGGCAGGCATATCCTACTTTACATGTCCCACCTCTGACATTGGGTGGCACACACTAAACATCAAACAAGTGCTCTAGAAGGGCAAGCATATCACACTTTACATGTCACATATCTGCCATTGGGTAACATACTATTCACTTCAACTTATGTGCTCTAAAGGGTAAGTTTATCCTGCTTTACATGTCACATTTGTGACATTTAAGCAATACCTGTATTGTATTTGAAGCTTTGCGGTAGTTTTACTGTCGCAAATTGGGTTTACCTGGCGACGCGTATAAGAAGTCAGGTGAGGTTATTAGTCTCAAACTGGAAAAAGATAATGCAACAATAAATAAAGGCAACAGTAGTATACCGCTGTTCGAAATTCATAAATCGATTGAGAAAAAAACAAATCCGGGTTACAAACTAAAACTGAGGGAAAAAAAGATCTAAAATAAAACTAAACAAAAATTAAACAAAACGGTTGCTGAGCAGCTTACAATGTTAGGGCTTGACTCAGGTGAAAACGATGAAAATTTATTTGCAACTGCTAAATCTGTTAAAAAATAAAGCAAGTGATGAGTCTTCTCAGAAAAGAAAAGGTCAGAAAAAATCTGCACTCGTAAGTTAATTTACTGATAAGGTTATAAAACCACACAGTCTTTCCCGCACAAATATTTACAGTTTGAATATGTCAATAAAGATTTGAAATTTAAGCAGTTGAAGTTTGAATAGTTGTCGCAGGTGAATTAGAAATTATTTCAATTCTTTGCAAACACAAAGCAGATAAGGAAGGTAGATTAAATCTTTTACAAAAAGTTGCCTAATTTTCATTCGTGTTTTAGTCAGCTATTCTCGATTTTTATGCTGCATGGTTACGACAGATCGAAATTGGTAAGAAAACGTGGGAAGATGAC